GAAGGAGGAGGAGAAGCAGCAGCAGCAGCAGCAACTCAGCAGCAGCGCGAGGAGGAGGAGGAGGAGGAGGAGGAGGAGGAAAAGGAGGAGGAGGAGGAGGAGGAGGAGGACATAGGAGCAAGAGGGAGGAGGAGAAGGAGGAGGAAAATACGCAGGAGGAGGGGGGGGGAAAGGATAACTGAAACAGTCTCCTCCTCATCCTCCTTTCATCTTACGCCTCTTTCTTCCTCCCTCTTGCGCCTGTTTCCTCCTGTTCCCCCTCCTCCTCCACCCCCTCCTCCTCGCTTGCCCCTTCTGCGCCCCTCCCATGCCCGCAGGACGACGACGACGACTGCAGGGGCGGCGGCGGGGGGGCCTGCCGCTGGTGGCAGCTGTAAGTAGTAGTAGTAGTAGTAGTAGTAGTAGTAGTAGTCGTCGTCGTCGTCGTCGTCGTCGTCGTCGTCGTCGTCGTCGTCGTCGTCGGCGTCGTCGTCAGTCGTCGTCGTTCGTGTCCGTCGTCGTCGTCGTCGTCGTCGTCGTCGTCGTCGTCGTCGTGTCGTCGTCGTCAGTCGTCGTCGTCGTCGTCGTCGTCCGTCGTCGTCGTTGTAAGTAGTAGTGTAGTAGTGTAGTAGTAGTAGTAGTAGTAGTAGTGTAGTAGTGGTATTAGTAGTAGTAGTAGTAGTAGTAGTAGTAGTAGTAGTAGTAGTAGTAATAGTAGTAGTAGTAGTAGTAGTAGTAGTAGTAGTAGTAGTCGGCGCGGGAGCAGGGCTGAACCCGATCATGAGCACCGACGTTGGCGGGCGCGGGTGGCATCTCGGTTCGCCCTACCGCAGTTTCGAAAACAGCTCCAAAAAGTGCACGCGCGGCGTTGAGCCCCCCTTTACTTTCAGGGCCGCCCCCTGCCCCCCCCCCCCCCTCCCCTCTGGTTTGACTTTAGACATTATTCCTTGTGCTTTCTGGGTGCCCCCCTGGACCCCCAACGACTCGAGCTTGTTTTCCATGTGCTCGATTCGGGATACACTCCAAAGCCCGCTGAATCCCCGACTTGATCTGGCTCTCAGTACCGAATTCGTGCCCGCCTTTCCAGGGCACGCGAAGCGCGCCTCATCTAGCAGCCCCCCCCCTCCCCGCCTCTTCGTAGCCGTTTGGCGCAAGAGGGCTGGTACAGAAAATCTTGAAAGTTTACACGCGGCAGCGAATGCTCCACAGCCTTCCTTCATTCTTACAATGTTCTCGAAACAACTGTTTGTGTGGATTGCCCTTTATTATGGTAGTTCGGGCTTGGAGATTCAATCAAAACCATCAGCTTCTTTGGAGGCAATGCGCGTGCTTCTCTACGTCACAACCGCTGGGTCGCCGCAGCACAGAACCTTCATGAATTGCCAAGCGGATCTCTTTCGACGCTCGCCAAAATTAGCAAAGGCAGATGTGCCCCACTACGTTGGCGAGACTAATTATACGGGCGCGACACATGTTCTGATGCAAGACCTCTTGGATAAATGGCCGATGCCACACAAAACTCTAATTCATGAGGGTGGTAACCCTGGCAGACAGGCAGGAGCGATGAAAGCTATGCATGTGGCAGCTTCGAGAGGTTTGTTCAGAGGGTACGATTGGTTGATCAGAGTCAACCCAGACGTAATCTTTTACGACGAGAAGCCGTTGTTTGATCTCATGCAGAATCCTAAGAATTGGGGTGTCTTCGCGATTTGCTATTATAGCACACGATTGCATTGCAATTTGACCCGCACAGATTTCTTCGCGGTGCGTCCCCAGTACGCTGATGAACAGGCATTTGCCGATTGGGAGTGGCAGGCCAACAATGGCGGCTGGGCGGAATCGCAGGCTACAGCGGCATTTGAACGCATCTATAATTCCAGCAACTACGCCTTTATAAAGCCACCGCCAATCTGGCATCCTTCCTGTCGCTTGCAAGATGGAGGAATCTGGCGCGCAACAGGCACGTGCGAACAGACTTTAGACAAGCTTGGATGGAATACAAGCTTCCACGACCCACATGCGTCGGGTCCAGATCGCAGGCTTCCTGAGAATTCTTGGCACATGGCGCGGCGCGGTAGCAAGTCAAACTCGCCACGAAAGAGGCGCGACGGGCACAATTACCTGGACTCAGACAATGTCGTCGTCGTTTGGACGACGGGTAAAATCGCTTGTCTGGGAGCTTGTCGTCGTTTGGACGATGTTTACATCAAAGCCCAATCCTCAACTTCGATGTTCTCTTACTTGTAATGGAGGACCAAGCAGCAAAACAACTATCATCCACATTGTTATCGCAAGTATGCATGTAATCGACTGGATGTTGTGTGTTACTATGCCTCGTCTTTGTTGTTCCGTCGCCTGTTACCGCACAGTTCCAGGCTTGAACGCCGAAAGAGAGGTGAGAGGATGGATGCAGATGGTACCCCCGCACCAGTTGCAGCAGCCTTGTCCGGCTAATAATACAATGATACCGGAGAGAAACCCCTTATCCGAGTCCTTGTTGTTTTTACGTGAGATCCTTTTAGTTGTAGCCTAGGTTTCGCCTAGCTCTCGCTTGGCTTTAGCTTAGCTTTGGCTTAGCTTTAGCTTAATCTGTAAAAGGTGCTGTTCAGACTCTGGGGCGCCCCCAGACTCTGGGGGTTGGGGGTTGCTCCGAATTTGTCTCTCGTTGTCCGACTGTGTCTCCTCGCCCCTACCCCCTGCCTCCTTCTCCTGGTCCTCCTCCCTGTTTCTCTTCTTGCTCCCTCTTCGCCTGCTTTTCCCAGTCCTTTTCCCCTTTCTCCTCCTCCTCCTCAACCTCCTCCTCCTCCTTCTCCTCCTCCTCCTCCTCCCCCTCCTCCCTCCTCCTCCTCCTCCTCCTCCTCCTCCCCCTAGGAGGAGTCGGCTTGCAGGGGGGGCCGGGCGCGGGGGGGGCGCCAACGACCGCGCCGATTCCATCGCGGCCCGCTGCCCCTTCCCGGGACTCTCAGGAATCCTCCGGGCCCAGTCGGCCTCGCAGTCGGCGCCGGCGTCGCGTCGCCCGCGAGGGCCAGCCGGCGGGCGGGCCGACCTTGTTGCGCATGTTTGGCGCGAGAGACCCGCGCGGGCCTCGCGCTGTGCCCGCGCCCCAGGGCGACGGCCCAGGCCCCTGTAGCCCCCCGCGCTGACGCGATGGCCTCGCGCTGGGCGCAGGAGCGGGCGCCGCCGACCGTTCGGTTCGGTTCCGCGCTCTTCTCATGCGAGAACGCAAAGCCCCCCGTGCTGCTCGCGCTGAGCAATGCGTTGCAGTTGCGACGGCCGCGCGTTCAATTGGAAACCGCAGCGCAAGTTTCCATTCCCGCGCGCGGGGCGGGGCATGAACTTACAGATGCGCCGACGGTCGAGAACTCGCGCGCGCGCCCGCGCCTGCCATGTTGGGCGTGCGCACTGGGTCCGGAAATCTGTGGCTCGGCCGCCCGATGCGCCCCGAAAATCGCTCCGCCTCCCCCCCGCCCCCCCCCCTTCAAAACTCTTCCGCGCTCCTGGAAAAACCATGCCGCCGAGGCGGGGGCTCGGGCCGCGGCCTGATGGTCCCCGGGGCACAGGGGAATCAAAGGAATCAGTACGGAATCAGTGCAGAATCAAAACAGAATCGGCACAACTGCGACCCCTGATTCTAGCGGAATCAAAAGAATCAGCACGGAATCAATGCGGAATCAAAGGAGGAATCGGCGATGAAACCAGAATCGGCCAGAACGGGGAAGTAGGCCAGAATCGGTGCCAGATCCCATGGAGAGATGCCTTTTTCCCGCGAGTTCATTGCGGAGGGTCCGCGGCGCGGGCGCGCCGCGCGGCTTCTCTGGTTCAGCGAGGCGCGCAGTCGGCGTTCAGAGTGAACAGGTTGTTTTCAGGGCGATGTCCTGGCGGCGCGCTGGCGCATTGCGCATTTGCGTATTCCTGGCGGGCTGTTTGGGGGCGACCCGGCAGCGTCGGCCGAATGGCCCGCAAATACCGCGCGGCCGATCGCGCGCCCCATGCGGCCACGTCGACCGCCGTGTGCCGCGACGGCCGCGCGCCCCGGACCGCGCCATTGCCGCCTTGGATTGGACGGCGCAGCGCCCGTTTTCCAAAAGTCGTTACATGCATATCGCGCGCTTCGAGCCAGCCGCAATCGCTCCCAGAAGCAGCCTCGACGGGCGCCCCATGCCCGTTGTCGCCCGGTTCCGATCCAAATCATAGTTTCTTAGGATGCGCTTGCGCGAATGCGAGCGCGCGGGCAAGTGACACGTGCGCGCGCTTGGCGCAGCCTGGGAAATCCAACATGGAGCCCCCCGGGGGCGCGGGGCGCCGGCGACGCCTCCGCCCGCCTCCCGCGCGCCCGACCCCCCCCGCAAGCCGACTCCTCCTACCTCCCCCTCCTCCTCCTCCCCCTCCTCCTCCTCCTCCACAAGGGGCCTCTAAGACGCCCAAGATGGCCTCCAAGACGGCCCTGAAGCGCCTTAAGAGGACCCCACATCGGTTCAGAGAGGCCCCCAAGACGGCTTCCGACGGCGTCAGACCTGTCAGATGGACCAGGAACGCTTTAAGACGGCCAAGGAGAGGCCCCCAAGACGCCCCCAATGCCCCCCCCCCCCCGCCCCCCCCCCCCCCCCCCCCCACCCAAGAGGCCTGAGGAGGCCCCCAAGAGGCTTCCAAGAGGCCCCCGGGAAGCCCCCAGGAGGCCCCACAAGAGTGCCCCAAGAGGCTCCCAAGAGGCCTCCTCCTCTCCTCCTCCTCCTCCTGGTCCTCCTCCTTTTCCTCCTCCTCCTCCTCCTCCTCCTCCTCCTCCCTCTCCTGATCCCCCCCCTCAGCCTCCCCCAAGTGTTCCCCGAAGATTTTCCGGAGCGGCTGGGGGAATACATAATCATATAGGTTGGCCAAGTTGGGGCCCAACGTTTGGCCACATAGGCGCTTCTGAAAAAGGCTGGGGGCGGCGGTGATTCGCCGTAGGCGTCTTGGATCCGCCGTCCCCTGTGCTTGCCGCAGGGGTGGACGGCGTGCCAGACATTTTGCTGCTCTTGTTATTTTCAATGGCCCCGCAGACGCTTGTCGATGTCTGTGCCGAGCAAGTGCGTCAGCAGCTGCCGCTTCGCAATGAAGAGGTCCACCAAGCCTTTGTTGCCACCGTTGCCATCCTTCAAGGCGCGATTTGAGATCTCCCCAACGTCTGCCATGCCGCTGTTGCAGACATCGCGGATCTTCTCCAAGCACCACGTGATCATGGCGGGCTGCTTATCACACTTCGTCAGCACAGCGTTCAGCTTCGCGACGCTGTTCAGCGGGTTGTTGTGACCGTACTTTTCAGACAGCGAACGCAGGATGTCAAGGTTCTTCGAATCTCTGAGGATGTTCGTGTAGACGACCGAGGTCTGGTTAATGAATGTGGTTGTCGCAGCCTCTGACTCGGTGCTCATGTTAATCTTCTCCACGTAGTACTGCGCCAGCTGTTCGTTGGTTGCCTTGACGTTGGCCTGCTCCATGAGCCGCCGAATCCGCAGGACCTCGTAGATGCGCTGGAGGGTGTCGCGGCCGACCGCCTTCGCTGTCTGCCGCATCTGCTCGCGAGGGTTGATCGCTCTGCGGAGCGCCGGATGGTTCGGGTTGTCCACGCCGCCCTCGTGAAACTCGAACTGGAACGCCGCGCACTGAAGGTCCACCTTGAAGCTCAAGAGCTTCTCGTGGGAGGCGCCGTTGTCTATGGCGTTGCAAATCCCAATCACGCGCGCGAAGTTCACCTCCTCAGGCGAGAGCCTGCGCAGGGCCCCCTGGTGCTCCATCGGATTGTAGCTCAGGTCCGAGACAAGCACCACGTTTGCACCCGTCCACTGGTTAAGCTCAGAGAAGCTGTTCTCGGCGAGCTGGTAGATGCTGGCCTCGTTGCAAGGAACTCCTGGCTGCGCAGTGAACCACAAGTCTAGCCGCAGCTCGTTGCCCGCGCAGCGGTAGGTCCCATGCGCCTTCATTGCGGCCTTGTATTCCTCGAGATCAAACGCCGCCTGCATGCCGTGCTTCTGAGTCGACGTGACAACCGGCTGCTTCTCCGTCGCGCGGGCGCGCTTGGGGGGTGTCTCATGCGAGTCGCCCTCGCCGCCCTTGTCGGCCTCGTCGGTCTGCATGCCTAGGGCGCCCGCGCCCCGTAGATCTCGGAACACTTCGTGGTTGACGAGCTTCTCGAACTTCGTGGCCAATTCAGCCAGGAATTCCTTGTTGATGCCATTGCTTTCGGTGTTGGCCGATTCTGCTGCCGGAGTGCCTGCTGAAGCCTTGGCATGGGGGGTGCCGCGCCCTCTCCCGCCGCCGCGACCAGCGCCAGCAGCGCCGCCGCCGCGACCAGCGCTGGCAGCGCCGCGCGCCATCTCTGAGCGGCGCTTGGAGATGGAGAAACAGAAGCGCAAAATGCGCTGCAGCCATAAATAACAGCGGCGGAACGGACGATGGGGGGAGGAGGGGGAGGATGGCGGAGAGGGAGGCGTTAACCCCGATCAGCGCCAATACCCCAAACAGTGTTATGTGCATTGTTGCAGGGGTCATGTTGATCTGAACGCGGCACCCCAAACAGCGCAGTGCAAATGAAACGCGCGTCCCAAACAGTTTGGGAAGAGGGAGGGGCCCACCCTAAACGACGTGAGTACCCCGAACAGTGCGCTTGTACTTTGAGGGCGACGCGAGTGCACCCATAACAGCGTGCGACAAAAGTGCACCCCAAACAGTGACAGTCACAATGCCTTTCTGCCTTGACCTATTATTGGATATTGATTTCCATGTCTTCCCAAGCACGCTCTCTCGCGCGCCATAGGTTGCCTTCTGAAACCTGCTCGGCGCTGGGCAAGGCACGGCGATTATACAGGCGCCGCTGAGCAGCGGCGAAAGTGACCAACGCCCAGCTCGACAAGCAGAAACTTAATTACTGGCGTCAGCCTTGATGATATATCATTGATTTTCACTGCCAGTCATCGTTTGCAACCTCGACCAGCGAATCATCATTGTCGTACTCGTCCAACATGCGTTGCACTCCCTTGGCCGTGACATAATACCATTTGTTCTCCACGATCTTCTGGTTATCTGGAAGATTCTCGCCCTTGGCGAAGCTCCCCTGCGAATGCCTGACCTCCAACTTGGACTTCATCTTCTCGGGCAGTGGCACGTTGATGCCTTTCTTAGCGTTGACACTGATGCAAGACAACACCACGCTCTTCAAGTCATCGACCATCGTATAATATTTTCCATTAGTTGAAACTTCTTTGGTATGAATCCACACCGTTTCCCACGCATTGCATGGTTCCACGTAAACAAGGACCCTCATCATGCTGTTCTGATCTGATGGCTGCTTATACTTCCCCCATCGAAGGCGGGAGTCTACGTCGTCATTGGCGACTTCCTCCTTGTTCACTTCCTCAAAGCCAGCGTTGCCTGTCTTGGCGAGCAACCACGCTAAGTAATACACAGTGTCCTTGTCGTGATTCAGCGGTTCGCCACGAGCAGCTTCCGCAGTGCATTTCCAGATGTTGATCGACGGGGCGTCCCTGAACACACTGAATCGCTCACGCAACTCATCTGCAGCGGCCGACGCACGAATGCGGGGGTCGCCGACGTCGTTGAACGTTGTTGGGTCGGTTTTCTTCACGTCGGCCGTGTACCACGTCGAGCATCCAGGGACGAACACTTGAATTTTAAATACATCCTGACACATAGGGCTCTTGTCCCACGAGGCGCCCGTGGAGGAGCTGCCTGGCGGCTGGGGAGTTGCTGCCATTGTCGTCTCGACGACGGTGTTTGACCGAGGGCCTTGCTGGGCTCCTGAGGAGAAAAAGCTGTTTGGGCCAGAGTTGCAGCGCAATGACGCGCGTTGCGAGCATTGCTTAGGGAACCGAAAGGGGGGGAGGAGGAGAAGCAGAAGGGGGGGGCGAGCAGGAGGAGGAGGGTGTACAGGGGCAGGACGAGGGGGGAACAGGAGGAGGGAGGAGGAGCAGGCATTGCGGCATTGTATCTATGGACCTCGCTGTCTCACAATGAGTTTCACCATGGATCCCATATCTCATACTGGGTCTCACTATGGACCTCACTATGGATCCCATAGCTCATGGATCTCACTCTTGGATCTCACGATGGGTCCCACTATGGATCTCACTACTCACTACGGATCTCTCTATGGATCTCACTGTGGATCTCACTATGGATATAATTTATATTCTTATTTGTTTTTTCCTTCCTCCCCCCTTCCATCGAAGCGAAGCGTCACGGCCGCCACCCTGCCGAACGACCGAAGCCTCGAGCTTCCTTATCCCCCTCCTCCTCCTCCTCCTCCTCCCATTCCTCCTCCTCCTCATCATCCTCCTCCTCCTCCTCCCCTTTTCCTTCTCCACTGGCCCCTTCTCCTCCTCCTCCCCCCCATCATCATCATCCTCCTCCTCTTCCACCTCCCTGTCCTGAGCCGGCGGCGGCGGCGGCGGCAAGCGGGCCGCTTTGCTGCTCTGGGGGGGCGGGCGACGGGGCGGAAACACAGGAGGAGGACGCGGCAGAAGGAGGAGAAGGAGGAGGAGAAGCAGCAGCAGCAGCAGCAACTCAGCAGCAGCGCGAGGAGGAGAAGGAGGAGGAGGAGGAAAAGGAGGAGGAGGAGGAGGAGGAGGAGGAGGACATAGGAGCAAGAGGGAGGAGGAGAAGGAGGAGGAAAATACGCAGGAGGAGGGGGAGGAAAAGGATAACTGAAACAGTCTCCTCCTCATCCTCCTTTCATCTTACGCCTCTTTCTTCCTCCCTCTTGCGCCTGTTTCCTCCTCTTCCCCCTCCTCCTCCACCCCCTCCTCCTCGCTTGCCCCTCTGCGCCCCTCCCATGCCCGCAGGACGACGACGACGACAACTGCAGGGGCGGCGGCGGGGGGGCCTGCCGCTGGTGGCAGCTGTAGTAGTAGTAGTAGTAGTAGTAGTAGTAGTAGTAGTAGTAGTAGTAGTAGTAGTAGTAGTAGTAGTATAGTAGTAGTAGTAGTAGTAGTAGTAGTACTACTACTACTACTAGTACTAGTACTAGTACTAGTACTAGTACTAGTACTAGTAGTATAGTAGTAGTAGTAGTAGTAAGTAGTAGTCGTCCGTCGTCGTCGTCGTCGTCGTCGTCGTCGTCGTCGTCGTCGTCGTCGTCGTCGTCGTCGTCGTCGTCGTCGTCGTCGTCGTCGTCGTCGTCGTCCGTCGTCTCGTCGCGTCGTCGTCGTCGTCGTCGTGTCGTCGTCGTCGTAGTAGTAGTAGTAGTAGTAGTATAGTAGTAGTAGTAGTAGTAGTAGTATAGTACTAGTACTAGTACTAGTACTAGTACTTAGTACTAGTACATAGTACTAGTACTAGTAGTAGTAGTAGTAGTAGTAGTAGTAGTAGTAGTAGTAGTAGTAGTAGTAGTAGTAGTAGTAGTAGTAGTCGACGCGGGAGCAGGGCTGAACCCGAGACAATGACGATGCCATAGTCTCGGGGTCAGCCCTGCTAGACAAGGGGGGTGGGTAACGCGACCCCAAGAATCCACAACACCCAAACCCAAGCCCAAGACATCGAACATTAATTTTGAACAACGAAGAAGCATACAAATGAAAGGTAGGGGCCTGCGGGGGAGGAGTGGGGCAGCAGGCCAACCAAAAACCCACAAGAAACTCGCTAAGGACCGCCCAGCCGATGTCCCCCGGGGGACACTGGGTATTTCCGAGTCCCATGGGGCCACCGGGTAACTCATGCCCAGACCCCCCCTTGCAAGGTCGAGTAACCCGATGTCCCCCGGGGGACACCGGGTATCTCCGATGTCCCACGGGCTGATGTCCCACGGGGACCACCGGGTAACTCCGATGTCCCCCCGGGGACACCGGGTAACTCCGATGTCCCACGGGGGGGCACCGGGTAACTCGTGCCCAGACCCCCCTTGCAAGGTCGACTTAGCCGATGTCCCCGGGGGGACACAGGGTAACTCCGATGTCCCACGGGGGACACCGGGTAACTCCGATGTCCCACGGGCCGATGTCCCACGGGGACCACCAGGTAATTCCGATGTCCCACATGGACACCGGGTATCTCCGATGTCCCACGGGGGGCTACCGGGTAACCATGCCCAGACCCCCCTTGCAAAGTCGAGTTACCCAATGTCCCCCGGGGGACACCAGGTAACTCCGATGTCCCACGGGCCGATGTCCCACGGGGATCACCGGGTGACTCCGATCCCACGGGGGTCCACCGGTAATGCCGAATGCGCCCCTTGCAAGGTCGACTTACCCGACGCCCTCCGGGGGGCACCGGGTAAGTGGGGCTTGTGGAGCGCACCCCCCGCTTACCCGATGTCCCCCGGGGGACACCGGGTAACTCATGCCCGGCACTCCCCCGTGCAAGGTCGAGTTACACGATGCCCCCCCCTCGCCACCGGGTAACCCCCCTGCAGGGTCGAGTTACCCGATGTCCCCCAGGGGACACCGGGTAAGCGGGGGGTGTGGAGCGCACCCCCCAGTTACCCGATGCTCCCAAGGGGGGACGCCAAGTAACTCATGCCCGTCGTCGTCGTCGTCGGTCGTCGGTCGCGGACCGGAAAAACTTGAGGCTTCGGATCCGTTTTGGAGCCCCCCCGGGCCCCGAGGGCTCCAAAACCCTGGGGAAAAGCAGCAGCAAAACTTACCACTCCAGGTCGAGGCGTCGTCGTCGTCGTCGCCGTCGTATGCGGGTCGAGAGCTCCGGGATGGGGCCGAAACCTCCGGGTTGGGGTCGGGATTTCCTGGACGGGGTCGAGAGCTCTGGGGTCAAAACAGGGGAAATTTGGTCCAAGTGTCGCTGCCTGGTCCTGCAGGGGCTGGGTAAGGGTGCGTTTACACCTCCTCGTCGTCGTCGTCGTCGTCGCCAGGAGGGCCTCAAAGGACGGATCAAGATCACCTTCAGAGGGCACCGACAGGGCTCCAGAAGGGACCAAGAGGCTCCAAGAGGTCCCCCAGAATCGTTGAGAAGCCCGTAAAGGGCCCCAAGAAGGCCCCCGAAAGGGCCCCAAAGAGGCCCCCACAGAGGCTTCCACGAGGCCCCCAAGAGGCCCGAAAGAGATTTCCAGGAACCCCAAAACGGCCTGGATGAGGTCCCGCGCGCGGACGCTTCGACACCCTCGTCAGCAGTCACCTCTTATGCAGTCGTGAGTTACGGCTGGACGCTGGCTCGGAAGAAAGTTGGGCACTTGTCCGCCTTCAAATGCCAGCCAGGGCCCGCGGGAGGAATCCGGGGGTGTTTGGCCACAAAGTCAAACAATTTGAGAATGCTTTTTTGTTAGTGTCTGGCGATAGCCCGGATGGGGTCGGAGGATCGCGCCGCATCGCCGATGCATCGACGATGCAGCTCGATGTGGAGGCCGTGTTTCCCCCCCGCCGACGTCGCCGATGCATTGCCGACGTCACCGACGCATCGCCGATACATCGCCGATACTTCGGCGATGCATTGGCGATGCGGCGCGATCCTTCGACCCCAACTACTTGGACCCCATCTAGGAGGCCTCTAAAGATGGCGCCAAGACGGCCCGAGAGAGCCCCCCACAGAAACGCAAGACGCGCCCAGAGGGCCGAAGAAAGCCCCAGCAGCCCCAAGAGGACCCCGACAGGCCCCCAACGGGTCCCCAGGATGCCCCAAGATAACCCCAGATGGCCCTAACAACCCCCAGGGCAGTTTCAGCAGGTCACGAGGACCCCCCTTCTTCAACGTCCATTTCATCGGGCTCCTTCCGTTCCTCCTCGAACCCGTCCTCCTCCATTTCGTCCTCCTCGTCCTCGCGCTTGTCTTCCTACTCGTTGTCCTCCTGCTCTCCCTGCTTCCCCGTCATCCACGCCGTCATCCTCGTCATCCGCCGCCATGTCGTCGCCATCATCCTTACGAACCCAATCGACAACATCGGCTTTCAGGTCTTTGTCCGATCATGTGTTCAGGTTGTCTAAGGAAGTGTTGTGCGCGCTTTCAGCGACCTGTGCCACGAGTACGCGAGCGCAAAATTGTTCTGCGGCGCACCTCAGGAGGATAGAGGGGGCCGGCAGAAGGCAACGATACGAAAACAATGCCAGCTTCCCAGAAGGCGCGAGGGCTTCTGAGAAGCCCCGCTGCCTTTAAGAAGGCCGGCCCCCTCTGCCTTCCCCCCCCCTCCAGGCGCACCGCCGAATTATCTTACGGGCATTGGCTTTGCGATGCGGCCACCGCTTCAATCTCGACACAATTGTGCGCGGTGCCATCGATCGCCACCACTTAAACATATGTAAGTATTGCATGTGTGCATCAGCCCCGCAGGAGCAACGCACGCTTTCCGAATTCTTGCAGTATGCTCTTGGGGGCAGGCCTGAGTTCTATATGTGTGTTCTGTATGTTCTATGTGTGCGCTCTGTATGCTATATAGATGTGTGGATTATGTATGTGTGTTCTATGTGTTATACACGTGTGTATTATATATGTTTTATGTGTATATATATATATATATGTGTTGTAAGTGTGTTCTATACTACGCATGCTCTATATGTTCTCGATGCGATATTCAAGCAGTGGCGAAGCGCCCTGGCTCGCCTATAGCCCCACCAAACAATGTTTTAAGAACCTTTGTGGTCTCCACGAAATGTTCTTAGAACATTTCTGGCGGAGTCTGTCATGTTTTAACACATCGGATTTATGATATAAGAACATGATGTTTGTTTTTTTATAACATGTTTGGGTTCGAAGAACAGTTCGTGGTATGACTATAGGAATGCCGGGACGGCCGGTCCCTGCTCAAGATCTATGTTA